GAAGGCTGGGACAGCAATTTGGGTGGCGGTGCGGACACCCAAGCCGCCGAGCCTGACAGGAAGAGTAGCTTGTTTCCTCTGGCATTCATTGAGGGAAAGGTTATGGTTACTCCAAACGTTATGGCTGTATGACTAAATGAGACGATTGTTATAGAACTGCCAACTTGGCACATAATATGTAAAAATGGTGAGAATCTGTCGGAAACTGAATTTTTTATCAGGTCTCAAAGTGTAAAATTATCTTATGTGTAATGCTGGCAGTTGTTCTCTTAGTCACTAACAACAGTATGGCGGATGGCCTAAGGTGTTGGCGTCCACGGCCTCTATGGAGGAGAGTAGCTCTTGTTTATTTGTTTATATATTGTACTCGCTTGTATGTCCTCACTCTTTCCCACCAAACACACCAAAACTACGACGTTGGTACAACGTTCGAACAAGTTTTCACACCTACTAACCAGTTATAACAACCAATATAGCAAGTTGTAACAACGTTCTAATACGTCATAAACACGTTAAGCCAAGATATAGCAACTTGGTTTCACTAGTACTATTACTTGACGCTATCACAATAGTCTAGGTTATCATGCTAGCCTAGGATATTACTTTAGGTTATCATGACAAAGTTTTTAGGTTATGATGCAGTCCGTCCTCTCGAGTTGTCACAACGTCCATAAAATGATGTATTAAACTGGCCGAAACTAACCACCAATAGAAAACGGGACAGTCCGCCAATTTAGCGAGCCGCCATGATCAATGCAGCAACCTGTCCTCGCGAAGAAATTAAAGTCAATATTGACTTATTAACTACGTGCATAGGTGACATACTTAACATAATAGATACCCTTAAAAAGATTCATAGAAAACACCGACCTTACCTAACCTACTTAGTATGTTAAGATAAGCATCTTATTGCTTCGTAATTACAATTATTACCTAACCTATAATAGGTATAGGTTAAGTAATAAATGTAATTACGAAGCAATAAGATGCTTATCTTAAGATACTAACAAGGTTAGGTAAGGTCGGTGTTTTCTATGAATCTTTTTAAGGGTATCTATTATGTTAAGTATGTCACCTATGCACGTAGTTAATAAGTCAATATTGACTTTACGAATTTGCGAGAACGGGTTGGAAGAAATACATCGCATTTTGACGTACCAATCCCCCCCCTCCCCCCCAGTGTACACCTGTGTGTGGGGTGCCCCACTGGACCTCTGCCCCACCCTACCGATCCGCCACCTGCCCACCATCTGCCCACCACCTGTCGTGGGGGCCATTGGTATCTCGAGCATAAACAGTGAGTCACCTGCGACAGACAGTTGGTGCGTCAGGTGAGGAATTTTCTCCCTAAGGTGCTACACAAGCTTCCAATTTAACTGTTGGTGGAGGGTTGTGGGGCTTTGGGATGGCGGCGTCCGTCGACCCCCAGGGGCTGGTATGGGGGGTATCGGGGTGGTAGGGAGGCCTCCACGCCTTATCCACGCTGGGTACATCCAGGGTGTCTTGCTTACACGTTATCTTCAACGCCACAACTAAGCTGTCTTCAACGCAACGTCCACGCCCTCAGTACCCTCTCCCAGTATCCTAGGGGGGCCTGACGGCTGAGTGGACAGCGCTCGGACAGTGTGTGTGTGTGTGTGTGTGTGTGTTGTGTTTACACCCACAAAACCATGCTTTCCCTACACAATCACTTGAACATCATTTTCAATAAATGTGCGATGAAAAATACTAAAAAAAATTCCACATAATATCCTTGCAAAATTGTGTGTGGGTTCTTCGCTTGGCGTCCTCTTTTTAGGTGAGCGACAACCTCGCTGCTTGCAGTTCGGGGTTCGATTCCCGATGGTTGAAGTGGTTGGGCACCTTCTTTCACACCATCCCAACTGTTATACTGTCCTCGCATCCGGCCACGTGCTAGAGTCATAATGGCTTAGCGTCCATTCATCATCATTTCCTTCCTTCATTACAGAGTTTTAAAAGTACAAAGTATAGGAGGAGTAGTGTGGCGGTGAGGGTGAGAGGGCGGCGGTGTGCCATATTGTGTTAGCTTGGGGTGTTATTGTCGCGTCTCTTGTTGTAGCCGCCGTCCCTACTGTGTACTCTGGCACCTCTCTCTCTCTCTCTCTCTCTCTCTCTCTCTCTCTCTCTCTCTCTCTCTCTCTCTCTCTCTCTCTCTCTCTCTCTCTCTCTCTCTCTCTCTCTCTCTCTCTCTCTCTCTCTCTCTCTCTCTCTCTCTCTCTCTCTCTCTCTCTCTCTCTCTCTCTCTCTCTCTCTCTCTCTCTCTCTCTCTCTCTCTCTCTCTCTCTCTCTCTCTCTCTCTCTCTCTCTCCTCTCTCTCTCTCTCTCTCTCTCTCTCTCTCTCTCTCTCTCTCTCTCTCTCTCTCTCTCTCTCTCTCTCTCTCTCTCTCTCTCTCTCTCTCTCTCTCTCTCTCTCTCTCTCTCTCTCTCTCTCTCTCTCTCTCTCTCTCTCTCTCTCTCTCTCTCTCTCTCTCTCTCTCTCTCTCTCTCTCTCTCTCTCTCTCTCTCTCTCTCTCTCTCTCTCTCTCTCTCTCTCTCTCTCTCTCTCTCTCTCTCTCTCTCTCTCTCTCTCTCTCTCTCTCTCTCTCTCTCTCTCTCTCTCTCTCTCTCTCTCTCTCTCTCTCTCTCTCCACAACATGTCCAAGTCTTGATACGCTAGTTTGCATGGTATAAATGTATGGCCACGTCGCTGGTACGATATAAACTAAACCAAAAACCTACCTTCCACCCTTTAGTCTACATATTTTAGTCTATAACTTTATAATGGTTCTTTCTCTTGTGTGTGTGTACAGAACGTTGCTTCTTTGGTCCAGCCCACAGTAGCGTAGACACCCTCGCTCTCCCGACAGGATATACTTGGCGTTAGGGACAAAATGGTGTTTTTAATGCACATACAAGTGGAGATGACCACAGTTTGGAAAAGTGTGTCAGGCTCCCACACCAGAAGCTTTAGGAGAGGCGATATTTTCAAGTGTGAAGGCGGCGTAGCGGAGTTGTGACGTAATCTACTGTTGGGGCAATATTGTCACTTGTAAACACGCGGTCTATTGTGTGTTGGCCAGCCTCGCAACAACGGCCCCCCCTCACTCACGCTTTTTGCTGTGATCTGCTGCCCGTGTCCAGCGTCCCGGGGGGGGAAGGAAGAGGAGGGAGGGAGGGGTGACGGGACGAGAGTGAGCAAGAAATATCTTTAAAGGTAATTATGTGGAGGTATTGGGCAGATGTTGAGAGTATGCGAGGTAGTGAAGGGTCCTTGCCCCCTCCCCCTGGTCGCTCACGCCCCAGGAATGCTCCCAACTCTCCCCTGATGGGTATTTGTGTCTCTCTCTCTCTCTCTCTCTCTCTCTCTCTCTCTCTCTCTCTCTCTCTCTCTCTCTCTCTCTCTCTCTCTCTCTCTCTCTCTCTCTCTCTCTCTCTCTCTCTCTCACACACACACACACTCTGACTCTTGAAGAATTTCATTTCCCAAATGATACCTTCTATCTGCTCTCCTGCTCCCTACACCTATCTTCATTGTTTGTGTGTACTCACCTATTTGTGCTTGCGGGGGTTGAGCTTTGGCTCTTTGGCCCCGCCTCTCGACTGTCGATCAACTGCTGTACAGATTCCTGAGCCTATCGGGCTCTATCATATCTACACTTGAAACTGTGTATGGAGTCAGCCTCCACCACATCACTGCCTAATGCATTCCATCCACACACCGTGTGTGTGTGTGTGTGTGTACTCACCTAAATATACTCACCTAAGGGTTCTTGAAGTGTGTCGACCTCGACGCTTCAGTTTCTTGTTATATCAACTTTTGAAACTTTTTTTTTTATATTATAGCATTTCTTCATCTTGTCGATTTTATTTGCTCACTACTCTTATTAAACTTCTTTCTAACATCACTCATCCCCTTGTTCTACCCTACCTGATACGGAACATTAATCGACCTTATCAACTCCCCCTGAGAATCTTTAATGTCGTTATCATGTCTTCTTGATTTCTTCACTCCGAGTGTGGTGAGGTTCAGTTCTCTCAGCCATTCCTCATACTCTAATCCTGGCTAGTAAGAGCCTCGTGGCATACCTGCAAGTTTGGTGTTATGATGTTTAGATGCAAGATGAGGGTTCCACACCGGGACGGCGTACTCCACGCTGGGCACGACTCACATGTGTCGTGTGCTCTGTCGGCCTCCTTCCCTGACTTGCCCAGTATCACTTATTAATTTGTTGACATTTTCATATATGCTCATGTTGGGATCCTATTTACATGGTAGGCTGAGTATACTATTTATTTCCAGGTCATACTCTTATTGCTTCTGGGAGTCGTTTCTCTTTCTATTCATATTGTTCAGTGGGTCGTCTTCATTATAACTTCTCATTACCTTGCACTTATCTGGGTTGATGTTAAGGAACCATTAAAAAAAGGGACCATTTCTGAAGTACTGAGTACTGCTCCACACCCAGGTCTCATCTATGTGTGGTGAGAGAGAGAGAGAGTGAGTGAGTGAGAGTTGCCACAAACATGTTGATGGTGCAGTAGTGGCACCCACCCCTCGCTGCTCCACGTGTTGGTGTGTGACACTGTTATTGTTGGTGTGTGACACTACTCACCTAGTTGTGTTTGCGAGGGTTGAGCTCTGGCTCTTTGGTCCCGCCTCTCAACTGTCAATCAACTGGTGTACAGATTCCTGAGCCTACTGGGCTCTATGATATCTATATTTGAAACTGTGTATGGAGTCAGCCTCCACCACATGACTACTTAATGCATTCCATTTGTTAACTACCCTGACACTGAAAAATTTCTTCCTAACGTCTCTGTGGCTCATCTGGGTACTAAGTACCAAGTTTCCACCTGTGTCCCCCTTGCCCCCAACACTGTTATTGTTGGTGTATGACACTTATTGTTCAGCTGTAACCTTGATGTTTGAAGGTGTAGTTTGTGTGTAAGAAGAGCGAGTGTGGGTACTGGGAGTGAGGCGCGGGGCGGGGCTGTGGTAGTGTGCGGCAGTGAGGCGCGGGAGGAGGTGCGGGTCGCTCCATGTCGCCCCAGTAGCAGTGTTGACCTCATGAGGCGAGGCGCTCCCGCTACCCCCTTCCCTTAACCTAAGCGCCGTGTTGGGAATATACCCCGACGGTTCTCTCAGGAGTATATAGCCTTTATTGTTCTCTTGAGTTCGTATTTGTGTGGGGATTTTGTCCCAAGTAGCAGGGTAGTTTTGTGTTGGTGTAGTGGAGCAGATCTTGTAGTGGTGGTGTGTTGGAGAGTGGTGAGAGGTGGACAAAAGGGCAGAGGAGACACGCTGCCTGTCTTTCCTGCTGTGTGCAAGTGTCACCCTTCTCCTCACTGGAGGACAGTTTGGTTTCAATGGATGTGTTCAGCGATTGCCCAGCCGCAGACGTCGTACGATGTGTCTGCGCTGAGCCAGTACCCTCAGCGGCTCCGCCATGCGCTGCCCTCCGTCATGCACGCCTCGCCACTCTGGGCCCCACCCGACTACCGCTTCAGACTTCATAACTAAGTCAATAGTGTGTTAGTGGGGTATGTGCCGGCTGCCTCGGCTCAACAACGCCGGCTTGTGAGTATCCCTTCTCCCCGGGTGCTGCTTCTTGATTGGTTAATGTTTGTGACCTCTCACCCCCCCCCTCCCAAACTATTGACCAGTCACTGCTTCACCATTGACCTGTCACAGCCACCCTCCCCCCTCTCATCATTGACTTTTTACCGACTTGCGACTCGAACAGAGGTCGTTAGCGAAGCACTCTTCGAGAAATGTTGGAACGTCATCAGTTGTGAGTCGTCGTGTAAACCGTTTTTCGTTCATAAACGGGTTTGGCGGCTGGATTAACGAGCAGTTGGCCCCTTGTAGATGAGGACGGGCATAATGGTATACATGATGCTATACATTCACATGCATTGTTGTCATAGGAGTTTACGTCCACTACTTCACTGGGTTCATGCCCGCGCTTGTCAAGTATTTGTCAGGTGTAGCGCTCCTACTGACAGGTCTTGGTGCACCTCTTGCCGTATAACTGAACTATTCCCATGTACTAAATCCTGGTCGAATAGTGGCTAAATGTAAAGTGTTAAGTGTAGGTTGATGTAAGTGGAGGCACTCTTCTGGGGTGGTTGAGGCGCCACGTAAAACACCACTATTGCATTGGCTGAATGACGCAGGGTGCAGTCGCACCTCCACAGATCTCCAGTATCATCTATTGATACTGGTAATGGCTCAAAAGGGCCACCACTTACGGGCTATTCATGCCCGTACCACCTTTTGGGCGGCTTAATCTTCATCAATCAATCGGGGTAAGATGATTGTGAGGTGATAATGTCACGCCGGAAGACTACTATGACGGGGCCGCCATTATTGTTAGTCACGTCAGGTCACGAGACACTCCAGGCTGGTGACAACCCTCACGTTGTTAACACTTGTGGTATACACAACTCCGCAGCAAGAGACCATAGTCTCCAGGGCAGAGTGTAAATAAGAAAGTTTGTGAGAGGAAGGCTGGTGACAACCCTCACGTTGTTAACACTTGTGGTATACACAACTCCGCAGCAAGAGACCATAGTCTCCAGGGCAGAGTGTAAATAAGAAAGTTTGTCAGAGGAAGGCTGGTGACAACCCCCACGTTGTTAACACTTGTGGTATATACAACTCAGCAGCAAGAGACCATAGTCTCCAGGGCAGAGTGTAAATAAGAAAGTTTGTCAGAGGAAGGCTGGTGACAACCCTCACGTTGTTAACACTTGTGGTATATACAACTCCGCAGCAAGAGACCATAGTCTCCAGGGCAGAGTGTAAATAAGAAAGTTTGTCAGAGGAAGGCTGGTGGCGACACTGGCGCGACCATCTGAAGGAGGAAGTATTTCCACGGCCCATTGTCAACCTCTTTATGGTGTTTGTGACGTCTGGCCAACCCTTACCTTTATTTACCACACAACTAAAGAACAAGTCTTTAGCGTCGATGGCCTGAAATGGGTTTTGTGTAAGTTGCCAGAGTTGTGGTGGCTCAGGTTATGGTGGAGCCGCGGGAGGGGCTCCAACCCTCGGGCTCCAACCACGGGTTAGTGTTCCAGCTGAGTGAGCTCTAGCACGTCTTAAGTGTTATGGTTAACCCCACAAACTTTGTTGTTTGTGGCGGTACTCCAGCCTCCAGGAGGGTAGTTCCCTGTTGCTCCTCAAGTTCTTCCAGACGAAGGATAGAAGACAGACTAATAGCTCAACATTTTTTTGGAAGGCAATTATATTAAGCTTCTGGCTGCCTTGTTCTTTATTACTTGTATGAGTTTTATTTAGGTGTTAGATTATATATATTGTCTGGGATTGAGTTCTGTGGTTCTGAGCTTCAGAGATCTATCCCCTCCGGTTTGGCTCGTTCATTCTGTTTGGCGTGTTGAGCCGAAATTGTAAAACTGACCCAAAGGTTAGATTAATATTGTGTCTGAGTCGTGGATGACGTCTTTGTTAGGGCAGCAGAGAACTCATTGAATCACTGTTATTGTCGTGTTGTTCCGTGACTCACTTTCTCCAGTTGTAACTCCTTGAGTCGCTGTTGACTCTTACTATGATAGTTCCCTTCAAGTGGTGGTCTTCTCCGGCTCACACTCATCAATTACAACACAATTGTATTTCGTTTTTTATCGAGTGATGCGCACTCGTCTGTAGATCCCCAGGATTACCCTTCGTCCCAGCTTAGTCTACCGTGTTGACACATCTCCTCCTGAAGGCTGCGGTGGACACCTAAAGTACTATATTTGTGTCTCACCCAAGGTATCTTGCTTTACTCTTCCGCATTTTTCCTTGATAGTTATGTTGTTATTGTTCGGGGTGCGTAGGCCTACTCTGCCCTTGTGGCCGGGACGTAGGTCTACTCTTGTGGCTTTGTTCTGTAGAAAAGTTGTGTCTATATATATTTATTAAAGTGGTTTAACCCGGTGTTAGGAACATAAGGACGCTACAGCCTTACGCTGTGTAAGGCATCTCATGCCTTACCTAGAGATGATTTCGGGGCTTAGCGTCCCCGCGGCCCGGTCGTCGACCAGGCCTCCTGAGTTAGGGGTTAGTTCAGGGGACGGTGTGGGGGGGTGGGGGGTTAAGGGTACAGGAACAGCTGACTACAGAATTGTCACAAGTGGTACACTTTGCCAGCTGGCGGGACAGGTGGTGGTGGGGGGGGGGAAGGTAAGTAGTGGGGCAGGTGGTGGTGGTGAGAGGAGTAGTGGACCAGCTGCGGCAGATGGTAATAGTGGAATAATATCACGTTTGAATGACATGTTCCGACGACCCTTATGGCAGTTGACAGTAGTTTGATAGGAGAGACAGGGGGGGCGATTAGTCCTGTGGAGATGGCCCCTAGCCTCCAGTCCTGCATTGTGCCGCAGAGCATCATCCCTTCCGGTTTGATTTCCTGTGTGTGTGTGTATTGTGTATGATCACAGCACTCACATTCAACCTGTCCTCTTAAAAAGAACGTCGCTTTTGGCCGTTTGCCCGTATGGCCGAATTTGGACGTAATTTGAAATTGAAAAAAAAATTAAAATAAATGTGGGATTTTTTTTTCACCAACAGTAAGTTAAGGGTCCTGTGATAGGTTAGGTGGGCAGGAAATTCTCATAAAGTTTCAAAACGTTATGAAAAACGTTAATTTAAAGTGTCCTCTTATAACCTCTGCGCGTAAGCCGGACGACTCAAATAGAAAACGGAACAGAACGTCACTTTTGTGAGTCGATTTCATTTCAAATTACGTCCAAATTTAGCCATATCGCGCATACGAGCCAAAAGTGACGTTCTTTTTAGGAGGACGGGTTGCAATAGTGTCCCCCGCCATGGGGTGTATATGTCCCCGCCACGGGGTGTATAGTGTCCCCGCCACGGGGTGTATAGAGTATAGTGCAAGCAAACCACGGGGGGCAAGAGTGTAAGGAGGGTGTTGAGTGGTGACCGAGGTGTTCAGTCCGGGGCATGTGTGATGGTGACACATGATAATACGGGTGTCCACCCTTAATGGTGGGGTAGTGTGTCACGGAGATGGGGCCTTTGCTCTCTCTCTCTCTCTCTCTTCTCTCTCTCTCTCTCTCTCTCTCTCTCTCTCTCTCTCTCTCTCTCTCTCTCTCTCTCTCTCTCTCTCTCTCTCTCTCTCTCTCTCTCTCTCTCTCTCTCTCTCTCTCTCTCTCTCTCTCTCTCTCTCTCTCTCTCTCTCTCTCTCTCTCTCTCTCTCTCTCTCTCTCTCTCTCTCTCTCTCTCTCTCTCTCTCTCTCTCTCTCTTTTTTCCTCCTCCTCCTAAATTATCTTGCGTTAAGCTTTAATATTGGTCACTTGTTATTAATGTCTTCATCCATGGAGGAAAAACCTGAGCATAAGGAGGAGGTATTCTATGCCAGAATTATTTGTCACTCTTGTGTCATGAAGATATTGATAAAGATCGTCATGAAGATCTCGTCAAGATCAGCTGTGCTGTGATAATATTCCTTTGGTCACAATATTGTGTGATGTGCCTAATGTTGGGGGTGTTATGGGTGGTAAGGTGATACCGTACCCACACCCAGTGCCACTCCCAGGCACTGGGTGTGGCTGGGTAGAGGCGTGCCAATACCGCGGTCACAATTCCCATTGTTTTGTGCAGTTGCTGCTTGAATGGGCAATGTGACCATGTGACCAACTGGCCATTTGTTGTTGTTGTTGTTGTTTAAGATTCGCTGCTTGGAACAAAAAGTTGCAAGTAGTACGGGCTATGGTGAGCCCGAAGAGGACTTACCTGGCACAGGAGCGGGGCTGTAACTTGTGGAAACCCATCTGGTGGCCATTAGATACCCATCCATATATAAACCTCATTCATCCAGGAGGAGGAGGAGAGAGAGAGAGAAAGAGGAGCAGGAGAAGCAGGTGGTGGGGGAGGAGGAGGAGGCGTCGCCATCAAGTTTGCGACAATATTTGTGTAAGAGTTGAGACGTTGCTAGGTAGCTGTCCATAACTTCTTTGGCAGATAGTTGGGTGAGACTCCACGTGTGGAGGGTTGGTGGGAGGGTAGGGGAGGGGCGGGGTACAGATGAGGGGGCGAGTAGTAGGGGGCGAGGGTAGGGGAGACGTTATGAGCTGACTTATTGGTGGGGGAATACTGGGTAGGGATTTACAGAAGGAGACTGCTGAAATATTGGTGGGGGGGGGGAGTTGTGGTGTGATGGTTGCAGGGGGAGACAGACGGGGGAGATGTTGGCAGGCAGGGGGACAGCTTTGCTTTATTTATTTATTTATGTATATATACAAGTTCTTACACTAGAATGACAAATAGTAACGTGCGTGGGGTCTATAGGCCTACCTCATTTAAAATTAAAGATAGCTAGAGAAGGCTGAGAGGTACACTATTAACTGGAATGGACTGAAAGACGTAGTGGAAGTCGCCTCCTGTCACCTTGGATCTTAAGATTATAAACTTTTTGTAGAAGTGTATGTAATTACCTAAGGGTAGTTGAGTGACAGAGCAGACAAGCAGAGCGCAACGCCAGTGTCTCCTGAGACTGATGTCTCCTGAGACTGATGTCTCCTGAGACTGATGTCTCCTGAGACTGATGTCTCCTGAGACTGATGTCTCCTGAGACTGATGTCTCCTGAGACTGATGCCTACTACTAGTCGCAGGTAAGAGCTAGGCTGGTGGAGTCCCATCTTCCTGTGTTAAAGCTGTTGTTGTTTCAGATTTAGCTACTCTGAACGAAGTGTCCATGTAGCACGGGCTATGGTGAGCCCGTAACGTTGTTTTGGTCACCACCACCACCACCATCACCTCACTTGTTCCCACCGTCTGTCACTCTGTAAAAAGAAAACTTTCTAATATTTTTACGGAAGCTGTTTCTTTAGCTTGAATCTGTGACCTCTTGTTCTTGAAAATGCAGGTTTCAAGAATTCCTCGATTTAAATTTTGTCGATTCATGTTACTACTTTTTATGCAGTGATCATATAACCTCTTTTTATTCGATCCGGCCTTGGTATATTTAACACATTTAACACATTTAACCTCTTTAAATAGCTCATGTTTTTATTTTTATTTTTAGTTCCGGGAGCATTTAGTTACATGTCTTAGCATTTTTTCAGTTTACTGGTGTTTTTCTTGAGATATGGGCGCTATTTAATTGCTGTATATTCCAATTTCGGTCTCACGAAGGTCAAGAAAATTTTCTTTTCATCATCATCCATGTATATAAAAAGTGTACTCATAAATATTATTTGTATACTCTTGTATTACTATGTGAATAGCCTCCTCTTTATTGGAGTAGATGGCGGTGAAATGTGGTAGGAAAGTGGGGGTGGTGGAAGCTCCTTATTTTTTATGTAATCGCGCATATCATGCCTTGGGTGGCGCCAGTGCTCATTAGCTCCGTCCTTATCCTTAAGGATCTGCTTCTTGGACATGGTGAGTGCGTGTCTCACCAGAACATGCTCGGCATCGACTGGGGTGTGTGTACCTAGCCTCATACTTCTCAATTATCTTGAAGTCTTGGGCTTAGGTGGAGTCCCGTGTTGGAGTGTGTGACGGGAACACTATTCGTGCCTCGAATAGAGTTTATGGAATACCTTGTAGAGGGCTCGAACTTGCGGGACAACACATGACAGGGACTCTATCGACTGTATCACAGCATCTCCCCCCTCCCCTCCCGTGTGTGTGTGTGTGTGTGTGTGTGTGTGTGTGTGTGTGTGTGTGTGTGTGTGTGTGTGTGTGTGTGTGTGTGTGTGGTTGTGAGTGTGTGGTTGTGAGTGTGTGTGTGTGTGTGTGTGTGTGTGTGTGTGTGTGTGTGTGTGTGGTTGTGAGTGAAGGGACCGTCGGGGCAGCAGTGCCTGCCAGGGTAGCTCTCCGGTTGGTGCCTTGGTAACCTGCTGCTACTTCTCTTTCAGCTCTTCATTACAGGATAAACATGATGGCTGTCATATGATAGTGAGTCAAACGTCTCCAGCTGTGGACAAGTACCTTGTGTATATTGAGGAGAGTGACTGTAGCACTGCCTGACTACTCGCAGTCTGCTCAAAGTGTCATTCGCCATTCGGTGTAAGCGTAACCGTCGGTTTAAGCGTGAGAGCGTCGGTGTAAGCGTGACGGTCGGTTTAAGCGTGAGAGCGTCGGTGTAAGCGAGTAAGCCATGCTGTCCTCTGAGGACAGTGCTGATGACGAGTTTGTGTTCGTAACCAAGACGACGGCGGGGGCGGGTGTGGCCTACCAGGACTCTCCTGGCACCACCACGCCCATCACCCGCCACCCCCGCCCACACCATCGCCTCAACCAGCCTATACCCATCACCCTGGACCTAGTGACCATGCCGGCGACGCCAGTGCCACGCACATGGCCCGCCTCCTGCAGTGCCACTGCCACCCGGGCTAAGGTCACCCCGCTGCCCCCTGAGCTGATAGAACTGCTGCCGCCACACCTGCGGGAGAACACGGTACCGGACTACTCAACGTCGACCACACCTGCAGAGGAGAGCTTGCCCGAGAGACCGCCGCTGCCCACCACCTACTGCCCAGGTGACTACTCTAATTTGGATGACCCCTCCACCCCCACCACACCACACAACTACGACTATTTGTCCCACATCATCACCCCCGACGCCCTCGGTCCTCTTACGTCCACTCACGCCATCCGGTCCGCGTCTCTCTCGCGGGCCACCGTTCGTAACACCTGCACTCCCAACTCTTCCCACACTGCTCCAGCTGCCCTGGCGCTCACAGACTCTGGTATCAGCAGCGGCGGAAGCAGCAACAGCAGCAGAAGCAACAGCAGCAGAAGCCTTCCTCGAGAAGTATCAAGGATATGCAACAGTGGGCGGCCCTTACAACCTCCTTCGCCCAAGTTCACTAGGACAGCCACGAGCAGCACCGCCAGCAGCACCAGCACCACTCAGCCCCAAACACGTGTCTCCTACACTGCCGTCCTGGCTAGTGACGGCGAGAGGGCCTCTATGATCCGCCGTCTGGAGGCCCTCACGCCAACACACACACCATTGCTCAGTAACTTCAGAGCTGCTAACAGTCACAACATTGGTGCATTTCAGGCAGATCTCTCTAACATAGAGGAGCGTCCCCACACGCGTCACGTGGCCACAGCCCACACTACTGTTGCACCAGTTGACCAGCCCAAACCCAGCCCGGTTGCTAACCTTGTGCCATCCTCTGTGTCTTGGACCACACCCACGCTAGAGGGCGGTGTGGGATACTCTTTCCCTGACCCGCCCACCACAACACAGCCCACGCCCTCTGCCCACCCACCATTTCCTCCCGCACCTGTGTCAACATGCGCTCATGTACACACACAGCGAGCATCTACCCGACCCTCACAGACGTGGGCTGCCTCACCGCCCTCCAGTCCTCAAATGCGTCGTGCATGGAACGTGATTGGTGTCCCGGTACGAGAAATACGCCACAAAGGCAGTCCGTCACCAGGTAGCCGTAGCCCGTCACCAGCTCCCCACAGTCCGTCACCAGCTGCCCGGAGTCCTTCGCCAGCTGGTCGAAGTTCGTCACCAATTGAAATGTCCCAACGAGGCCTTCACTGTGGTGGCTTTCATTCGGACTCTGATAACATCTACGATAACGTGGTGGTGCGCCACCCACCCCTGGCTGCCGCCACCGTGCGGACTGCGCCCACTGCCAGCGTTCCGCCCACCTTCACCCCACATCCCCACCCCACCACTCCGCCACGAAGAGTGCCCTGCTCGTCTCTTACTGGAAAACCGCCTTCGCCTCCCACCCAGCGGCGAGCCTCCCGCTCTCCCACGCCCCAGACGGGCTGGAAGCCAGCAGGCAGGCCCAGCAGCCCCCACTGCCTGCCTTATTATCATACTCCAGACCCACATTATGGGGGCTGCTGGGTGCCCATGTGGGGATCGTCGCCGCAGCTGTTCCAGCCGGGCGCCGGCCCCATGTATCCTGCTTATGTATACAGCGGGCCGACCGGGGAAATGTGTGAAGGCCGGAGTCACAGTTGTGATCGCATCCCTGCTCGCCCCTCCCCGCCACCCTCGCCCCGTAACGGGCGGCGATCAGCCTCGCCCTGGCGAGGAGGGTCGGCCTCTCCCATCGGACAGGTGCAGGCCCCCTCCGCAGACTGTGGCAGTGGCCGCCCACCACGCCCCAGACGACCACCCCACAGGAGGTCCAAAACAGTGGAAGTGGGTTGTCTGGGTGTGCTGGCTCACCCGCCATCCAGCGGGGCCATGCCCGCCGTGGTGCTGGCTGACTCCACACAGATATCGCCGCACGCCATCGCCTACCTCCCCTCCTCGCCCACCTCTCGAGGTCCTCCTCCTAACCAGCTATACATGCAAGGCTTTGGCCACCAAAACGTACCCACCTGTCACACGCACACTCAGCCCAGACAGCAATGTGTCCCGCACATCGGTACAATTGCCGAGCAGAGCGGCAGGCTTGGGGTCGAGGCTTGTTCTAGCAGGAAAGGAACACCGTCGCCATCCATGATGACGTCGCTGTACAGTCCGCCATCCTTGCCAGTACCTTCACCTGTGTTTGACAGGCAAGCACACGCAGGTTCCTCGAAACATAAGGTAACGTACAAGTCTTCCTTCTACAAGTGCATGAAAAATCTTCTGAGACCGGTACAGTAGTCTCCGCTGCATCTTGCATGAACGCCATTTTCTATGAGACATGCTGTGCATCAAAGAACATGTCTCTGTATCAAGCCGTATGGGTTACTATTTTGTTTGTGAAATAAGTAGGAAAATAATTGAGTATGGTAAGTAACCTTAATAATTCCACGTGATACTTAAAACACTAAGTAGAAAATTATTGACAACTGTTCCAGTAGGGGAAATATCGACAAGTTATTAGTGCATCCAGTAAGTATAATCGATCAGGAAATTATTACAAACGAGAAATCTCTTCGCGCAATATATAGCAAGATTTGTACAAGAATATAAAATTAAAAAAGTGTCGATTGCAAATAGAGATGTGGCAGTAGTGAAGTTAGAGACCTTGAGGAAAGAGAATAGTTGTCACTTGTGGAAGGGGTCTCACCAGTGAGCTGCTACGGACTGACCCCCTCTAGTGGTGTGGCCAGGGGGTCCAACTAGTGGTGTGGCCAGGGGGTCCAACTAGTGGTGTGGCCAGAGGTCCAACTAGTGGTGTGGCCAGAGGTCCAACTAGTGGTGTGGCCAGAGGTCCAACTAGTGATGTGGCCAGGGTTCGCTAGTGGTGTGGCCAGGGTCCCCTAGAGGTGTGGCCAGGGTCCGCTAGTGGTGTGGCCAGGGTCCCTTAGAGGTGTGGCCAGGGTCCGCTAGTGGTGTGGCCAGTGTCTTCTAGTGGTGTGGCCAGAGGTCCAACTAGTGGTGTGGCCAGAGGTCCAACTAGTGATGTGGCCAGGGTTCGCTAGTGGTGTGGCCAGGGTCCCCTAGAGGTGTGGCCAGGGTCCGCTAGTGGTGTGGCCAGGGTCCCCTAGAGGTGTGGCCAGGGTCCGCTAGTGGTGTGGCCAGGGTCCCCTAGAGGTGTGGCCAGGGTCCGCTAGTGGTGTGGCCAGGGTCCCCTAGAGGTGTGGCCAGGGTCCGCTAGTGGTGTGGCCAGGGTCCTCTAGTGGTGTGGCCAGGGGGTCCAACTAGTGGTGTGGCCAGAGGTCCAACTAGTGATGTGGCCAGGGTTCGCTAGTGGTGTGGCCAGGGTCCCCTAGAGGTGTGGCCAGGGTCCGCTAGTGGTGTGGCCAGGGTCCCCTAGAGGTGTGGCCAGGGTCCGCTAGTGGTGTGGCCAGTGTCTTCTAGTGGTGTGGCCAGAGGGTGCAACTAGTGGTGTGGCCAGGGTCCGCTAGTGGTGTGGCTAGGGTCCCCTAGAGGTGTGGCCAGGGTCCCCTAGAGGTGTGGCCAGGGTCCGCTAGTGGTGTGGCCAGGGTCCCCTAGAGGTGTGGCCAGGGTCCGCTAGTGGTGTGGCCAGGGTCCCCTAGAGGTGTGGCCAGGGTCCGCTAGTGGTGTGGCCAGTGTCTTCTAGTGGTGTGGCCAGAGGGTGCAACTAGTGGTGTGGCCAGGGTCCGCTAGTGGTGTGGCTAGGGTCCCCTAGAGGTGTGGCCAGGGTCCCCTAGAGGTGTGGCCAGGGTCCGCTAGTGGTGTGGCCAGGGTCCCCTAGAGGTGTGGCCAGGGTCCCCTAGAGGTGTGGCCAGGGTCCGCTAGTGGTGTGGCTAGGGTCCCCTAGAGGTGTGGCCAGGGTCCCCTAGAGGTGTGGCCAGGGTCCGCTAGTGGTGTGGCCAGGGTCCCCTAGAGGTGTGGCCAGGGTCCGCTAGTGGTGTGGCCAGTGTCTTCTAGTGGTGTGGCCAGGGTCCCCTAGAGGTGTGGCCAGGGTCCCCTAGAGGTGTGGCCAGGGTCCGCTAGTGGTGTGGCCAGGGTCCCCTAGAGGTGTGGCCAGGGTCCGCTAGTGGTGTGGCCAGTGTCTTCTAGTGGTGTGGCCAGAGGGTGCAACTAGAGGCCAGGGCCTGACCGAGAGTGGTGAGGTATAGTGAACAAGCCACCTCCTGCAGCTGACAACCTTCACCATCTTGGACACCATCTTGCTTCATGGTAATTATCACAGTTATTGAGTAGATAAACTAATAAAGCTATGCTGTTTGATAGTTATTAGATGTGAAGTGTGCTGCATGCAAGGTTGCTTCCGTTCCGCCTCACCACCCGACCACATCATCACCTCTAACATTATTGACATCATTAACAATTCCCTTTGTCGGGGACAGGAAGCCTATTCTCTAGATTATCGACGTCCCCTCCTAGAGCCTAGGCCAACTATTGACCTTCCCCACGATGCAACCTACAATAAGTTGTCTAACATTTGGGTACCTAATATATATATATATATATATATATATATATATATATATATATATATATATATATATATATATATATATATATATATATATATCTGATTTAATTCTGTGACCTGCATTATCTACCTGTGGCTGTCGTAACCTCGTCAAAGCTGTGCCATATTGGGATACATTATCGAGCCGGACACCAGGTGCTCACCACGGAGACTATACCACTTGCACAGTGGACGGAACACGCAGCCATGATTCACTCTCACAGTGCATGACAAGTTTCCTTCACCAACCCTTCACCCACCACAAATCCCTTCCATCAACCTCCCTTGCCTACACAAGGAACGTTTTTGTGCAAACAGTTCCATGGAGGCAGTGGTGGAGGCAGGTGTGACTGGCGGGAGTGATGGGGCTGCCTCTGGCTGTGTGGGAGGCAGTGTTTGTGTACACGGTGGAGGTGGCTGGCCAGCGCCACACCGTCACGCCACATCACGCCACATCTCTCCTTTCAGCCCATCTTTACCGGCACTACACACCATGTCTTGCCCCTCACATCGTCTCTCCCAACATCCCAACTCATGACCACCAAACCACAACCCAGAAGACGACGACGACGTTTCGGTCCGTCCTGGATCATGATTAAGTCGACCATCACAATCGACTTGAGAATGGTCCAGGAGGGACCGAAACGTCGTCGTCTCTTCATCTTCTGGTGTGTGGTTTGCTCGACATATCTTCAGCCACGTTATTGGGACTCATCGTCTGCATCCCACCTCATGCCACACCTCATTCTCAAACCACATCTCTAGTGTTTGTTGTGATGAGGTGGGTGTGTGTGTACTCACCTAATTGTGCTTGGGGGCTGAGCTCTGACTCTTTGGTCCCGCCTCTCAACCGTCAATCAACAGGTGTACAGGTTGCTGAGCCTATTGGGTTCTATCATATCTACACTTGAAACTGTGTATGGAGTCGGCCTCCATCACATCACTGCCTAATGCATTATGCAGTGATGTGCAGCGGGCAGCGCCACTCATCCTGTGAGTGGACACACCGCCATAGCAGCATGTACAACACTCCCCAATAGGAAGAAAACCCGCTGGGTTGGAGGACATGTAAAGCCATCAGTGCATGTTCTTCGGCCACGGGATGGGTATGGGGTGCATAATAAATGACTAACTCGACTCAACTCTAGGTCATTGAGGCTACGGGCCCGCGTTAAGTGTTCAAGTTTGGGCTACTTACACACACCCACAGAGACCAGGTAGTCACCAGGGAAGGCTGGTCTCGGGCTAGGCTGCGTATTATGTGTAGGTGATACACTGCCTTCGTTTTGGAACGTTCCCTCCCAGCTTCACGGCAGGGGCGGCAAAGGCAGGGGCAGGGGCAGGGGCAGGGGCGGCAGGGGCAGGGGCGGGGACGGCAGGGTCAGGTCCGATGCAGTTAAATTACGTCCTTTTTTTGTAAGAAATTGTATACCTGGTGGTGCTTAATGCTCTTAAGTAGAGCGGTCATGCACAGGGTAAGGGTGGAAGGATGAGGGGAGGCGGGGTGAGGGTGGAAGGATGAGGGGAGGTGGGGTGAGTGTGAGGGTAGTGAGGGGAGGTGTAGGACCCGGGCAGCGGGGCAGGGAGGTGGTGGTGGTGGGTGGCACGCCGATGCTGCCGCCTCTGCTACACTTGACCAGGCAGGCACTAGAGGTGGCGGGTGTAGAGCCACATGGCACCCGTGCCCTGACGTGTGTGTGTGATACATTCCACCCTAAACCCACGTTTCAGCCCCCCCTTCCCCCCCCTCCTCCTGGTCACTGTGGCCGGCGCAGTGTACAAGTGGGTGGTGAGGGCGTGAACCCGGTGAGCAGCCAGCCAGCATGTTGTACTCCAGTGTGGAGGCCATCAGCCAGCGGCGGCGACCTGCCACTCAACATCATGGCGTCTGCGGCAAGCTGCTCCTTATCCTCCCACGGAGGTGTTCTCACTTTCCCTGAGTCCGTCTCATCGTGAGTGAGTTGTCATCCTCCGGATCAGCGAAGCGATTTATGTCCAAGTCTTCCTTCATGCCAGCAAGTCGTCCTCCGTCCCAGTGAGTCGTCCTCCGTCCCAGGAAGTCGTCCTCCGTCCCAGGAAGTCATCCATCACGTCAGTGAGTCGTCCTCCGCCGCCAGTAAGTCATCCATCACGTCAGTGAGTCGTCCTTGGCAAGCTATGAAGATGTCGTCACGCTCGTCGTACCGTGCGAGACTACCTGGCTTCTGCATCGCTCACGCAGGTTTGTGTCTCCCTGTTGTAGGCGTGACGCCCCTGGTGTCTTGGCTGGGGCGTCACGCCGTCTGTTGGAGGGGTGACGTTGGTCTTAGTCCTGCCCCACACCGCCCTCCCGGTACACCACCACCACACTCCCGGTACAGCACCACCACACTCTCCCGGTACACCACCACCACACTCTCCCGGTACACCACCACCACACTCTCCCTGTATACCACCATAAACCTCCGATACACCACTAGTCGTGGATACTATTTCGGTACAGAAAGATACACATTCTATCCTGCGCACAGCAAAACACGTGGAGCCCATCCTGTGGGCAGTGGTGGAGCCCCATACCCATCCTGTGGGCAGTGGTGGAGCCCCATACCCATCCTGTGGGCAGTGGTGGAGCCCCATACCCATCCTGTGGGCAGTGGTGGAGCCCATACCCATCCTGTGGACAGTGGTGGAGCCCATACCCATCCTGTGGACAGTGGTGGAGCCCATACCCATC